AGTTGGTATCTTTTATCAAGTAGCAGAGGCCACGCAACTTGCCATCCCATAGTTTGAGTCAAAAACAAAAGTATAAACCAAAATGAAAGCAGGAGCTACAAACCATTATTACCTTCAGAATAATTCAAACAATCTTCACACAAGTCACATCTGTTAACTCTGACTTTGTGGCAGAATTTAAATCTAGAACCAGGAGGAGAAATCAGGTTTGTTGTTTCTGTCTCCAGGAGTGATCACCACCATCTCAAAGCTGACGAAGATGTGCGTCCTGCGTCTGACTCCAGACAACCTGTTCTTCGTTCTGTCTGGTAAAGTGGCCAACGGAGGAGTCAGCATGTGGTGTGAGCTCCTACAGGTGAGCTCAGGTACATCGGGCGTTTGGTTCTGACACCACAGGATGAAACGTTCTGTCAGTACCCACAAATACTAAACAAATCACACTTGGACATATAAGAAACTGTATTTTTAACACTAGCAAGGTGCTGTTGGATAAAAGCTTGGTGTATCTTCACACAATAAGTTTGTCCTTAAAAAAGAGAATACTCAACAAGTGTAGGACAACTGTCCTGTCCATGTGTCCTTCCTCCCGGCAGGCCAACTTCTTTGATGAGTACCAGATGGAAGGCGTCTCCTCTGAGTTTAACGAGATCTGTCTGGAGGTGACTCCAGAAAACTTGTCCAGAGCCCTGAAGACGATCCAAAACGCCAAATCTGTTAAAATCAAGCTGACCAAGAAGCACTGCCCCTGTCTGACCATCGCTGCTGAGCTGGTGAGACAGAAGACACAAGAAACGGGACGCTTTGTCTCCGCTCGGTCCACTTCATGACATGTTTTAAGGTTTACTGTAGCTGCAGGTTGAAGTGTTGAACTGTAAGTTTTGATCTGATGAAACCCGACCTCCATGTGTCCCCGTTCAGCCCACCATGTCCAGCATCAGCCGAGTCGTCACTCATGACGTCCCCGTCGATGTCATCCCCAAGAGTCTGTGGCACGAGTTCAAAGAACCGAGCGTCCCGGACTTCGATGTGAGCACCGCTCCTGTCCAGAGAACTGAGTCCTCAGACGGTTCCTTCAGACCCGTGACCCGTCTTGTGTTTGCAGGTCAGCATCTACCTGCCTCCTCTGAAGACCATGAAGAACGTTGTGGACAGGATGAAGAACCTCTCCAACTTCCTGGTAGGATCAGATTCTTCTCACTTCTTCAGAAAGAAAACTTTCCGTCAAACTCTCCTTTTCTTCCTCTACTGGTCACTCAAACCGCCTCGAGGTGGTGCTGCTGGACCACAACCAGTTTGATTTAAAATGTGTTTCTGTTTTTTTCAGGTGATCGAGGCCAACATGAACGGAGAGATGAACCTGAAGATTCAGACGGATCTGGTTTCTGTCACCACCCACTTCAAAGACCTGGGAAACCCTCCGTGGGGTAAAAACATCTGGGAACATCTCCACCTTTCAGACGAGCTCCCAGCTGGAGGCCTTTTCTTACCTGAACCTGGGTTTCAGGTCTCCTTCACTCTCTCTCTGCAGGTGAGGACTCCTCCCAGGACGGATGTTTGTCACAGAGAAGGGACCCAGAGGACATGGCGGAGGCCCGGGTGGACATCAGGAAGCTGCAGCAGTTCCTCATGGGACAGCAGGTCAACCCCAGCAAGGCCATGTGCAGTAAGTTCAGCCACAAAGTCCAGATGTTCACAAAACTGAGTTTTAAAGTTAATGCTTCTCTTTTATCTAAATTTAAAGGAGTCCAAATGAAATTTTTTTTTATATAAAAAACAAAAGGTTTGTAGGCTCAGTCATCCAGGTAGACAACAAAAGAATCTGGACCAGGCTCTTTAAGGGAGAAATGTTTCTTCTTCCATCTGGAAGACTTCATCAGTCTGTGTCCTGCCAACCAGATCTGTCCCATAAGTAGCCTTCTAACCTCCTGTTAGAATCTCAGCAGCTTTTAACTCGTGCCCGTCTGTCCAAAACAATCAGTCATCGTGTATAACAATCAAATGTTTAGGCCAGATGATCGACTTGCTACTCACAGAAACAGCCTGAGGACATTCAGAAAAAGGTTTGTTGGACTGATGAAGTCTTGTGCATGGAAGACGAAACATTTGTCCCTTAAAGAAACTGGTCCAGATGAAATGATTTAACCTTCTTTTGTTTGTTTTTTATATTTATGAACAAACTAAAAAGTTGTCTGTCTCTTTGTTTTTCTACTTTAATTCAGAAAAATCATCTTCAGTCGTTTATGAATGTTTTGAACTCCTCGTAGGAACAAAAGAATCAATTTAGTTGTTTTTATATTTTCACCCAACTTTGACTTCAATCAATGCTGCATTCACTGAACCTCACAAAAAGTAAAGTTTGATGTTTTATCTTTCAGATTAACACTAGAAATGATAAATTTGACTTAAAGTCATGAAGAAATGATTTCATAAGTTTTACCAGCTCTTTGTCAACCAGAAAACACAACTCATTATGTTTATCTTTCATTTTGTTCTCAATTTGAGGCTGAAAATTATGTTTTTCCATTTGTCAGTGAATGCACCATAAAGGGAGGAGTTAATTAACCTTCATACGCAATAATTCTTCAAAAAACATTTTCAACATAACAGTGCCTAAAAAACTGGATGATTTCCGTCCAACCTGCAGGTTAAAGACATTTCAGTGTTCTGAGTTCTTCTCTGAGCTGGGTTGGTTCTGTTCTGATCCGATGTGTCCCTCCTGTCTCCTCAGACCTGGTCCATCAGACCGTGGTCCACCTGGTCCTGCTGCATGAAGACGTGTCTCTGCAGTATTTCATCCCCGCTGTGGCCTGAACCTCCTGCAGATCATCTGGGTTTGGTTCTGCTGACGGAGAGCTCAGAGAAGAGAACTGGACCGAACGAGTTTCTCTTCCTGACGGAGAAATGAAGCTCTGCTCTGCTGGAGGAACAGAACATCGTTGGTCTGGATCCTCAGCACGGACCTGAGATGAACTGTTACACACCAGCTGCACGCTCGTTTGTGTGGAAGAAGTTCTTTTTGTTCTCAAAGTGTTCTTGTTCTCACCCTTCTGTAGAACCCTGATGTTTGGCCTTGTTCACTTGACTTATTAGTAATATTTGTACCGCTGCTGGTTAGCTTTTACTCCACCTCCATCTTCTTACTTGGAGACTTCCATTTTGGACTCTTGTCTAGGACTACGTTCACGGTAGGTGTTCAGGTCTGAGCATGTGCTGCGTCAGGGTTCCCAGAGACTCAGGAAATCAGGAAGAACTGGGGAAATGACAGGGAACACTGGGAATTTTATCACAGAGCTGCTAAATAAAAGACGCTCTTATCACTGAGTCCATGTCCTACTGCCTACATGGATCTTGCTGACTGTCTCTGGGGGCCATTTAGTATCTGAAGTTTTACAGTATAATTAATTATTAAGAACGATTGCCGTGCGCTTCAACAGAAAGTGCTCGTATCGCTGACTTGGCCGTCGGGTTGCTCAGTGGGTACGCTGCTGGATAGCTGGTACTCTGACACACGAAGGTGAATAAATCCAAAGCTCCTGAACGTGAAGAGGACACGTGAGTCAGTTCTTTACGTTTCAGTGATATTAAAGTATAATCTCATTTCATGTCATCACAGTGACCAGAAAGCGTTTCTTGATTTCTGCGCAGTCTTTGATATTGTTCATTATGAGCTTTTACTTATGAAGCTTATAGTTTATAAGCTCAGCCTTGGACTTTGTGAGTAGATACATCAGTAGCAGGAAACTATTGTGTTTAAAGGTATCTGTTCAAACTTTGACACCCTTCCACGTGGAGTCCCACAAGGCACCTGCCTAGGTCTTCTGCTTTATAGTACAGTAGTCCCTCGCTGCTTCGTGGTTCGTTTATCGTAAACTCGCTCTATCGCGGTTTTTCAAAGTAAGATTGGACGTGACACACAACTGGCTGATTGATGGATGAGCTGCATGATCGGCAGGAAATTTTTATTTAAGATAAATTATTTTAAATTATTTAGCACCTCCTGCACCTCTGTCTACATTATAAGCTTCCTCCTGCAGCTGATCAGCTGATCTCCATACAGAGCGGAGAAGTGGGCGTGGCCGAGAGCACTGGCAAAGAGCAGAGGAGGCAGGAAGCTGAAATCATGGCATTCTGTGTCTTTTAGAGCGTTTAGAGTTTAGAAACGTTGTTTAGAATATTGCAAAAGTGTGGGAAGGGCTTAAAATACCTTTATATGTATATATATATATATATTAGTGCTGTCAATCGATTAAAAATTTAATCAGATTAATCATGATTAATCACAATGTTTAACTTTGTAAGCTTGAAATGTAAATATGCAGGTTTGTTGAAGAAAATATTTTGTTGCCTCAAACCAGTTTTCCAAATTTTCATACTCGGCAAGGTTTACAGAAGTAATTTTGTTTCAAACATTAATTTATAAATGTCAAATGTCTCTTAAGTGCCACTATGTGATCAAAACATGTAACCCTTCTTCTTCTTTTGATTTTAATTGGTGGTTGGCAAACTAATTTAAGAGCATTACTGCCCTCACTAGACTGGAAAGTGGATCTGGAGAATATCCAGGTAACCCTCCACAGGATAGAGGCCTTATAGGTCCAAATACAGGTCCTTCTAAAAAATTAGCATATTGTGATAAAGGTCATTATTTTCCATAATGTAATGATAAAAATGAAACTTTCATATATTTCAGATTCATTGCACACCAACTGAAATATTTCAGGTCTTTAATTGTTTTAATACTGATGATTATGGCATACAGCTCATGAAAACCCAAAATGCCTGTCCCAAAAAATTAGCATATTTCATCCCACCAATGAAAGACAAGTGTTTTTAATACAAAAAACGCCAACCTTCAAATAATCATGTTCAGTTATGCACTCAATACTTTGTCGGGAATCCTTTTGCATGAATGACTGCTTCAAGGCGGCGTGGCATGGAGGCAATCAGCCTGTGGCACTGCTGAGGTGTTATGGAGGCCCAGGATGCTTCGATAGCGGCCTTAAGCTCATCCAGAGTGTTGGGTCTTGTGTCTCTCAACTTTCTCTTCACAATATCCCACAGGTTCTCTATGGGGTTCAGGTCAGGAGAGTTGGCAGGCCAATTGAGCACAGTAATACCATGGTCAGTAAACCATTTACCAGTGGTTTTGGCACTGTGAGCAGGTGCCAGGTCATGCTGAAAATGAAATCTTCATCTCCATAAAGCTTTTCAGCAGATGGA